TCTGTATTTCCTCAAATCCTTTTGTAAGTAGACAGAGTTGAAATAATGAATACATAAACACTTACTGTGGCTTCTACTGAGGTTTACAGACTGACCACCTATCTTAAGTGCATTCTCTGAAAAGACTTTGTGAATGAAAAGAGACATAACTTTACCAATAACTTCATCAACAAACTTATGCTAAGATCTACCCTAAGGCAGGCACTGTGTAGGAAATAAAGAGCAAGGTAAGACAAAGTAGCTCTTTTACAGGACTTTGTCCTCTGGTTGCAGCAAGTGGCAGAGACTTTTCAAGTTCACAGAACATCCACTCACATCTATGTGTTTTGCAGCGTCTTCATAATTAGGCTGGTTCTTGCCAATGCTCTCTGAGCCGAGTGATGGATGGCACTTCCAGACTACAGTGTTTCACAGCCTCTGTATGACACCTCCCTTTCCCCCCCCCCCCCGCTCTCTCTTTCCCTGTCATTGTCTCCATGTGGCCTCCATCAGTCTAGTCCTTGAGCGAGTGTGTGAAGCATAGACCATGGCCTGTCATACCAGATATGTAGTTTGAGCAAGAACAATTACACAACTTCACATTATGTAACTGAAATCTTGAGATGAATTTATTACCCCAGCACAGCCTCGTCTATTCTAACACTGGGGAATACACACAAATACAGGGCTGATAACAGGCAATGCATGATAAATTCCAATGAGCAGAGTAGGTAATGCATTCCAAGCTGACTCCCACTTTGCTAGTTTATAAGTCAAGTCTATAATATTGTGTCACTTTTGCATTTGCCTTTGCAGTGGCCTTCTCAGTATGGCTGGTACCCTCCTGTTGACCAGTTCTCACTATAACAGGCCTTTCCCAACCCCCTGATCCAAAGGACACAACTCCAATGCTATCACACCTCCCTGCTTTGCTTCCTCACTCTCCATGAGATGTTCTTGTCTACTGTCCATCTTTCCCTTACTACAGTGTAAATACAAGAAGAGCAGGGACCATGTCTTTCTTGTTTACAGCTGTGTTTCCAGAATTGGGCCTGACACAAAGTAGGCACTCAATCAATTAATGTCTAAGGGATGAACAAATGAATAAATGATCTGCGGCCCAAGAGTTCAGATGTAGAAGGGAGGGAACTCACTAAGAACTGAGAGTCCAGAAAAGGATTCATTGGGAGGCAGGCCTGGAGAGGCTTTTTTTTTTTAAAAAAGAGGATCACCAGGGGTTGTTACAGCTATTATAGAAGCCTGAGCAAGGCATAGGGGTAGGAACTTACAGGCAGGGGTCTGGGCTGCCAGTGAATTTAGTGGAGTAGAACAGTGGGAAGAAGGTAGTGGTTGAGAGCCTAGAATGCCAGTTTATATAGGGTGTCCCCCCCAAATTATATATACATACTTTGAATATTCAATTATAAGGGCAGTGTTTATTAAAATACATCTCATTTTCAAAATTGAGCTATTATTTGTTAAAATGTGTATACATGTTTTGGGGGAACACCCTGTATCTAACCTAAGGACAAAAGGAAGCTCTCTTAAATGCTGATGGGAGTCATGGGCCAAATCCACTGTTAGAGACTGGGTGGAGATTTCCAAGATAGAGGCCCATAGAAAAGAGACTAAAGACAAAGGCATAGTCATTAGGTTGTGACAACAAAGTAGATAAGGTGATGATCAATAGACAGAAAGAAGGAACATGATGAAGGATCAATTAAACTTGGTCCAGAAAAGTTCCCTCTCTGCCCAATGCCACACATTGGGAGTGGGAGGAAGAAGGAACCAGGTTTAGAACTCGCAGGTTCTTTTCACTGGGCTCCTAATTCCGTGGTCCTTCTACCACACAGCAGCACCTCTCTGAGCCCCTGGAGACATCCAATCTAACAAAGAGAGGAGCAATGACCTGGGATAACGCCTACGTGGGTTCCTGAGTGGAGACCCAGCACACCACATCAATCTGGACAGTAAGGAGCTTGCCTTAAAAACAGCAGAAAACACATTTGCATTTTAGAGATAGAATCTGAGTTTGAACCTCCAAATAATGAGGATTTAACTCTTTCCTTGCTGACCACACATCGTTTATGTGAAGATGGAAGAGGATACAGAATATATATTTTTTAGTTTAAAAACAATTTATGAGCATTACTATCACAAAGAACAAAATACATTTACTAAAATTTCATCTCCTTTCCAGTGTACATACTTTCTTATGGAGGACTGGGTGTTGGGTTAGCAGTCTGGAGGGGCCTACACTTTTGGGTTTGGGAGTGCTATTAAAAGCAGTGGATGGAGCTTCACAGAATGGAAACTACTTCGTGCCCCAATGCAAAGAGAATTTGCCCAGCCTTGTACACTCACTGAATACTAGCTAATGAGTTTTTCATTGTCCACCCTTTCATTTATGTTCTTTCTTTACACTCTCTGGAGCTGTGCAAGAAAAGTGAAATAAAGTAATGCAAATGGACAGCAGGAAGACATTTCTACATTACTCATTCCCTGTTCCTCTCTTCCCCACTTCCTGCCCCCACATTAAGTAATCTCCTTTATACCAGACCCTCTAGCCTCTCTCTCCTCTTGCAACCTATATCCCTGACCACATAATCCTGCAAACATACAGCTCCCATCATATCACACCCTTCAAAACATCCTCAGTCGTGTTGGGAGCTATTGAATCAGGAGTTATTGAGGCAGCAGTTCTCTCCACTGCTGGTATTTCTTCCATGTGTAGGGAATGGGATCAGCTGCATTGCTCTACTTATCCGCCCATCTCACTCATTACTTCACTTGGCTGACAGAAGGGAAGTAGCTCATCTCAGTGGTCAGTCCAGGAAGTAACACATGCACTCCTTGCCTACCCACTCTGCTGCCCTTCCCTTGGGGAGCATAGGGCCTGAAGGCAGCAAGTGTTTTTATGTCCCCCACCCCCACAGGTCCTAAGATTTGTTGGGCTGCTTGGTCCACTGTTACCACCACTGGGAAGGTAAATCTGTCTGGAACCCAGTATTAGGAAGCCTGTTTGATTCTCCTGCTAAGATGCTTCATCCGGTGTAGCCATTTTCAGCTGTAAAGGTGATACCCTGGCTGTGTCTATACCTGCCTGTGCTTTATTTCTCAACTGGTTTAGCACTAGGGCCAAGACAATGGGTACTTTTTGTTAGATGCCCTGTGAATGCCTACAAACATGCTTCCATTGTCTGAAAACAAGCAGGGTCCTTGGTATTTGAGGTCTTCCACTCCCCCTCCCCGCCAAAAAAAAGATTTTCATCAACTTTCAGGGCCCAGTGCCCACTATGCTGTGTCCTTGGGTATGCGAAAGACCTGAGAGCAACCACCATTCTGGGATCATCTGACATCCTAGAAATGCTTCATTTTTTCTTTCTTCCATATGGTAAGCTCTGCTTCTTCAGCTCCCTGGCATTTAGGCTCATCAAAATTATGCCACCCAACCCTACTCCGAGTATAAGCTCAGCTACATGCCCTTCTCTGCATGCCTTTCTTGGTCCTGAGGGAGGGATCTGAGTTCCCTCTTCCTTGCTTTATTTCTTATTCTGCTTCTGCTGCCAGGAACTTTCTCCTTCTGCCCACTGCCCCCATGCCCCTCCCGCACAAACCTGTCTGACCACCACTTATCTCTGAGCTCTCCAACTGATGCCTTTACCTCTGAAGCTTCCCTTGAGCTCTCAGGAGTGTTGGGTGGTCCCCCTAAGTGCTTCTATAGGATCCTGAATACCACTAAATATGCGGAAGTAAATGCTCTGCCTACTTGACTCAAGAAGTTTATGAAGGCATATAGATAACACTTGCAATTATGTACAAGCCCAAAGAGAACAGAACTGCCACTCTAGATGGTAAATGCCTATGTCCACATAGAAACCAGAAGTAAATGCCCAGTGAATAGAGGCCCAGACGGGGAGAAGCTCGGAATGAGTAACTGGAATCAGGAAGGCCTTTCCGGAATCCTCTGGTCCTCCAGGGGGAGTCTCTTAAGAGGGAGTTATTCTATTGAGTGTCTAGCTTCTAAGCTGGTCAGTGAATTAAAGATATCCTATCATTAATTCAACTGCCCAGAGGTTAATAAGGGGCCAAGATTCCTAGTCCCTGGATTCAACGAAGTTAAGGGGGAGCATCCAGACTCCCCAGAATAAATCCAGTGAGAAAAGGGTCTCGGATCTCAGCCCTCCCCCATCTCCTGGGCACAAATGCCAAAGAGTGGTGTGCAGCAACAGCAGGTTGCAGCTCAAATGACATGTCTGAATATTGAGGCCACTGCATTTTTCTCACTGGCTCGAAGCTTGGGAAGTCTGATATGACTCTTTGAAGTCTGCTCAGTGCACAGGGAATGTGTGGATTTTCTGGGGCCTCTGACAATATGGGGAGAGATAAGACCCTCTTGGGCTCAAGTATCAAGAGGCTTTCTCAACTTTATAAATGCTGCTGGGAAAAGGAGGAGAGCTAAAACTCTGAGATTTTTAACAGGAAGTGTCAAACCCATCTTGCTTCTATGTTAAGCTAAAAGAATAAACCCATGGCTTATTCTTAGGGGATGGTGACGTAGTCAATCTGGGTGGGAGGAGTATTGATCAAAATTGCTGTAGGGTTCTAGCCAGTTTGCTCAGTGTATAGAGCATCGGCCTGCAGACTGAAGGGTTTCTGTTTTGATGCCAGTCAAGGGCACATACCTGGGTTGTGGGCTCGATCCCCAGTGGGGAGCTTGCAGGTGATTCTCTCTCATTATTGATGTTTCTATCTCTCTCTCTCCCTTTCTGAAATCAATTAGGATATATATGTATTTTTTTAAATTGCTGCAGGAAGGGCTTCTGAGGGGTGCCCTTGGTAGGTCCTATCAGGACATGACCAGGGCATTTCCTCATTTCCCCAATTAAAATGCTTTATACAGAGCATCTTGTTCTTGTTCCTTTTCTCATGCTGGGGTATTACCACCAACAACATTGCACACACTGAATGACCACGTTCCAGGGGGCCTGGGGCAAACACGCAATGCGGTGGCACAGTACCGATTTGGGTGAGCCACTTGGCCACCGCACCGTAGATCTCATCCAGGATGAGGATGACCACAAGGTTGATGATGACCGCTGTCGCTGTCACTGTCACCCGGACGTTGGAGCGTGTGTCCTTGTTGAGAGACAGAGCAGCTGCAGTTGTGATTCGGTACACAATGACCGCAAAAACAATGGAGAAGGTCAAGGCAATCTGCAGAGGAAAAACAGGGAGAGTCACACTTCTGCAGACAATTATTGAGCACTTATTTGCTCAGCCAACAGTATTATTGGCTAAGCCAGGTATTATTAACCTGGAGTTCATTGGTGGGAAATAGGGAACTGCAAACTCCTTAAATATTCATGCAAATTCTAAATACAGATAAATTTTTCAGGAGAAAGTGTCTTCCATTTTTATCAGATTCCAAATGGCCCACAATACACCAAAGAATTAACAATGGTGTGTACTATGCACGTAATGTGATTCGTTTTAGTAGAGAGCTTTCAATCTGCTATGGAGAAAAGGCAAATTCCTATTAAATCATAGTAAAAAATACCTGAAAAATGTATTAAGTGCAAAATGAAAAATATAGTTGTTAAAGGGTTTGAGAGTACAAAGGAGCTAGTAGATCTTAGTGCTCAGGGAATAGTTTGTGGATCAATGGGATTTAAACTGGGACTCAATGAAAAGACATCTTGAGCCATTGAAGGTGTTTGAGCTAAGTAGGGGTGAATGAGAGCTTAATGGAGTGTATGTGGGAAGGTTGACTAAAGGAGAAGAAAGGGAGAGAAAACAGGCAGGAGTGATATTTTCACTCTCAGTTCTCAGGATGAATAAAATATCACTTTAAATTTCTGTATCAGGCAATTTGAAATGGAGGACTCTGATATCTCATTTTGTGCCAAAACTTCTATGTTTAAAAGGAAAATTAAGCAGCCACTTGACCTCAAAGCCTGATCCCTCATTTCTTCTTTCTAGTACCTAAGAATTATAAGACACTCTCCCTTTCACGCTCCCTCTTCTCTCTTATCACAGCCAAGAAAGGGCCATTTCCCTGAAGCACAGAATGTCAGGAGAAGAACAGGTCCCGAGTAAGCCTTTTAGATGGGTGCAGAAGGAAGAAAGGGAGAAGCTAGGTGTTTAACCTGCTCAAAGAAAAACTATAATTTGTTCCAGTCAAGTGAAGTCTTCTTTTTTAGGATTCTTTTTGCAAAGGAGGCTGTTTAGGTCCTATTTCCTCTGGGACAGGGAATAGTGAGGTGGGCACTGGCTATGTAGGACTAAATAGAAAACATGGGGAGATAAAAGAGCAGGTAAAAAGATTCCCTCTGAGAAAAACAATCTGTCCTGGACTGTACATTCTCTCCCTAAAGAGGAGGGGGCGGGGCTCAGGCTTGGGCAGTGCTTTGCAAGCTGTGTGAAGGACACTCTAGTATGCAACAAATGAGGAATGGGTTTGAGATGTGTCTGAGTTATGGATGTCTTCAGGCTTCTAGGGGGTACCTGGGAGTGCTGATGCCTGGAGTGTGCTGGTAGCAGCCTCAGATGTTTATTCCCATGGGCTTTAAAAATATCAGTGCTTGCCCTTGGGCCACAGTGTAAAAAAGAAGCCTTGCCTAAGCACAGAGAATGCAGTGTTCTCTGAGTAAAGGGAAAATGTGTGTGTGTGTGCCCAAGTGGAGGAGAGGTTAGATGGGAAAGTCACTCTGTGGGAGATCCCTCTTTGGAGGCAGGCTGGGGTAGGAGTAGCAGCAACCCCAACCTTTAGGTCTAAGGAGGAATGACTACCATGTAAGAGGGAAAACTTGGATGTGACATCACTGCTCTTCAACAATGTAGACATTTTCATTTTCCATTCCTCTGGGATTGTCACTGCCAGACAGAAAGGGCCTGGAAAACATACTGTGAGATTGTTTTTCCCCAAAATCACTTTTGCAGTGAAGGATCATGATGGAAGTGGAAGTAATAATGAGGCAGGGGCAGCCAGGGCATGGGGGGAGGGGAGAGAAACGACTGGACAGGAAATCAACTTTGATGCTCCTTCTCTAAGAGGCTCAGCTGCTAAATGGGGAAGGAAGAACACTCCTCCTGGCTACACAGAGTATGATCCCTGGGACCTGCTCCATCAATTGGGAACTTGATAAACATGAAGGATCTCAAGCACAACTCCAGACCTAACTCTGTCTGCATTTTAACAAGATTCCTATTCAAGTTCCAGAGGCACTGCTCTTTTCACTCAAGAAATCCCATCTTCCCATCGTCCCTACATCCCCAGCCGCACCTCCAACATGACCCTCCCAGCCCGCTGATGCTGTTCTTTGCCATCTTAACTTCTCTGATCTTAATTTTCCATCCCATCATGGAAATCAGGTTTTGAACCTCTCCTTCAGAGCTTCCCACAAGCATCTCAAGATTTACAGTTTTCAAACTGGAAGAGCTTGGAGAGCACCAGCCCAGTCCCTTGGCCATCAAATAGACCAGGAAACAAACATGGATTTTCTCAAGGTTGCAAGGCAAGGACTCCTACCCTAGTTTCCTGGACCATCATAGGAATGAAAAAATTTTAGCATTTAAGGCTCATTCATGTTTAGCCTTTTATCTCACATATAAGGGCCCAAGAAACAGCAATGTGATTGATCCAAGGTCTGGAGAGTACATGGAAGAGTTGATACACTAATAATGATAACATCATCCTCAACAGCTGATCCATTTGTATCCACTCTATGTCATTATTCAATGCATATCTTCAGAAGTACTAATACTTATAATAGCACTAATGTCCCATCCTGACATTAGAATCTATGCACTCTGGCACTAAATCCAGGACTATTTTCACCACTTTGGCTGCATTATTGATTTTATTGATTAAATTCAATAAATATCTTCCAACCACTTATTGTGCAAACCACTGTACTGGGAATATTTCATGCTTATGAGCAGTCTCCCCAACTAGGCCAAAAGCAGGGATTGGTCTTGTGCTGTATTCTGTGCCTCCATGTTTGGTAATGATTTTATGATCCCATACACATGGTCACATTATTATGGTCCCTGTTGCTTTTGGTGTTTTAATCCCATAATATACTTCTGGGCATAGCCAAATTGCAATGGAAGCCAGGTGATAGCCCTACTTGACATTCTAAGAGAGACAGAAATGGGAACAGGTCCCGACACTCTAGGACTTACATTCTGAAGTGAAGTTGAGAAAAATCATTGCACACATAACAACTGTTGAGCCTAGTAGCAGCTGGACAGAGTCACAGGCCTTAGTTCCTGAGTTTCTGGTATGCTCTGAGCAGACAGCAGGGGGATTTGTTAAAGGAAACTCCACAGAAGCAGCTTTGAGACCATTTTCTATGGGAAAGGCTTGAGGGAAAGAATAAGGAGGGGCAAATAGAAAAGCACAGGCAGAAGTAACCTCTGGGAGAAGTAACTAGAAGGAGAGTGCCCAGTCTAGGGCATAACATGTAATAGTAGCTCAATTTTTAAAAATATACACACTAGTGACTTTATCATTGACATAATAAGTTGTCTCTGGGATCTTCCTAATTCACTTATTTTCTCATTCAGTCATTCATAAAAGATGTCTTGAGTACCTACTATAGGCCAGTCACCATTTTTAGGTGTCAGGGATATAATGATGAACAAAGATAAAAATTTCTTGGGTATTCATCTTCTAATGAGGAAAAATAGCATATATATATATATCAGCCTAATATGCAAATTGTCCCCACAGGAGTTCAACCGGGAGACCCATCACTTACTATGATATGTGCTGACCACCAGGGGCAGCACAGAATGAAGGGAGAGACCCTGGCCAGCAGCCGGAAGGCCCTAATTTGCCCTGATCATCAGCTAGACCTAGAAACCCTATCCATGCATGAATTTCATGCACCAGGCCTCTAGTAAACTAATAAATAGGTAAAATATATAGTATATCTGGTGTGATAAATTCTATGGAAACAAATAAAGCAGAATAGGGGCATAGGGAAAGGTTGCAACTTAAAATAGGGTGGTCAGGAAAGGCCTGAGAGAGAAGATGACATTTCAGCAAGGACCTAATTGTGTAAAGAGAGAGTTGGAGTGAAAGATGAATGGTGGAGAGAAGGAGAGCCTGCCCTTTATTATAAGGATCTACATCTCATGAGATATGAAAGACTTTAGAGAGGTTTTAGCAGAGGAGTGACATTATCAGACCCAGATTTTACAAAGATTAGTAGAGGAACAGTCAAAAGACAGCGAGATCAGTTAGGAGGCCATTGCAATAATCCAGGCAATGGAAGAAGGTTTCTGATGGCTGGTTCCCAATATGAATTAAGTAAATGATTGTCTTGGGCATGGGAAGAGCGCTTAGGTTCCTAGCTCTAGAAGAAGGTAGAACATTGCCTCTGATAATCTTCTGTCCTGTAAAAAGAAAATCAGAAAGAAAAAAAAAAGAAACTAGCTCAACATTCTGGGTGAGGATAGAAAGAGAAAATTTATCTTCATCCATGCTGCCTCTATCACAGTGGGAAGATGACACAGCATGTGACATTTTCTTGGCTCTTATCGTCCTATGAAAAACATCCCCAGCTGATCTGGCAGCCTGGCATCCCTAAAAACGTCCCTCATGGCCCTGGTCCTGAAATCTTCTGCCAAGGTTCAGTCACAGGGGACAGAGAAGGGAATGATATTTGATACTCCAGTTCGTTGCCTAAATTTCATAACAAAGTACTCTTTTATAAACACTCCCTGACCCCTTGACCCCATGCTCTACACAGTGTTCTAGGGTAATGCCCTGGTCCTCACGTATGATGAACTAGGCTATGAATTCACAATGGGGATTACCCATGGCCACTTCTCAGAGTTTTCCTTTTTCTTTTCTTTTTTCTTTTTTTAATCAATCTTGATTGTTCATATTATTACAAAGGTTCCTCATTTCTTCCCCCTCCACCAGGTTCCCACCCCACCCTCCACCCCCTCCCCATCCCCCATTGTCCTCATCCATAGGTCCACAGTTTATGTTCAGTCTCTTCTTCCCTCCCTTTCCCCAATAGTAAATCCCTTTTCAGATAGTAAATCAGTTACTTAGCATTTTCTCATATCAATAATATCTCCACATGCCCAATGATACACTTCACACAAAAGACATTTCCGATTAGGTCCACCAGCCTCATCCAGGCCCCACCCAACGCACTCACAGATCAACACCCCAGCCCTATACTAACTCAACACATCCAGATCTAAGCCTTCATCACTTGATTCAGTAGACCCTCAAGTTTCCACGAAAGTCTCCAGCCATGTCTGAGAGGCAGCCGTGGGGCAGGGGTAGGGGAGGGGAGCGAGCTGTTCTGGGCCTGGCCGCTCAGGGCCTGGCCTCTGTTGCTCTGGTTTGTTCCACAACCAGCTGCTCCGGGTCTGGTCACTGCCGCTCCCAACCTAGTTGCTCTGGACTTGGCTGCTGCTGCTCCGGGCCTGGCCGCTCCCAGCCTGGCAGCCGCTGCTCCGGGCCTGGCCGCACCTGACCCGCCTGCTCCCCCGGGCCTGGCCGCTCCCAGCCTGGCAGCCGCTGCTCCGGGCCTGGCCGCACCCGACCCGGCTGCTCTGGGGTCGGCTGCCCCGGGCCCGGCCGCTCCAAGCCTGGGCACTCCCAGCCTGGATGCTCTGGGCTTGGCTACTGCTGTTCTGGGTCTGGCTGCTCCCACTCCGGCTGCTCTGGGCCTGGCTTCTCCGGGCCCGGCCTCTCCGGGTCTGGTTGTTCCTGGACTTGCCACCCTGGGCTTGGACGCCTCCGCCTCAGGCCTGGCTGCCACTGCCCCAGGTCTGGCTGCTACAGTGCTGGCTGTTGATGCTCTGGTTCTGGCTGCTGCTGCTCTGGGGCCTGGCTGTTGCTGCTCCGGGCCTGGCTGCCACTGCCTTGTGCCTGGCCACTCTAGGCCTGGCCGTCGCTGTTCCAACATTCTGTCCTTTTTTTTTTTTTTTTTTAAACGCATTTATGTTGCAATGTTGGCTGTTGAGTTGAGTTCTGACTTAGTCTTTGATTTTTCAAGAACTTCTTTGTATTCTTTCTTAAGTAATTTTACTATCTTTTGCTCTCACTTGATTATTTCACATTGAGAACTTCTTTGGTTTCTTCCTCCTTGTCCTGAGAGCTCAGCAGGTTGGCCTGTGGCCCCCCTTTGTTCTCCGCGGGCTCCTGCGCTGCTTCAGCCTGTTGCCAGGGACGGCGCCGTCCAGGAAGCAGCCCCCGGCCTTGGCTCCATTGCCTGCGCTCAGCGGTGGAAGGCTCAGGGGCACCCACACCCCCAGGGGCCCCGTCGCCTGGCTCCTTGCTGGTTCCCGGTTGGCCGGCATCCGGCAGGGGCTCCTGCTCCCCGCCGCGTTCCCCCAGCCCGGAGCTTTATTTCTTTTTCCTGCTAGGGGAGTCCAGCATCAGAGTCAACAGACTGTCCTCTGCGCGCAGTGTGCGCGCAGTGTGCGCGAGTCCGAGGGCCTGGCCTTTCGCCGCTCTCCCTGGACTCCACCTCATAGCCCTGTCTCCCTCTGCCTGAGCCTGGGTCCCCAGGGATTGGCCCAGAACTGGGGTTCGGAGCAGTCCGGACTGAGGCCCAGTGCCCCGGAGGCCTTGTTTGTTCCGGCTAGGGTAACCCAGCATCAGAGTCAACATTCAATCCTCTGCGCGCGCATTGCGCGCGACTCCGGGGGCCCTGCTTTTCGCCGCTTTTCCGCCTCACAGCCCCGTCTCCTCCTGCCGGAGCCTGGGTCTCCAGGGTCTGGCCCATAACTGGGGCTCAGCGCTGCTGGTTCGGGGGGCTCAGCGCTGCTGGTTCAAGGGTTCAGCCCAGTCTGGGGGTTTTATTTCCTTCCTGCTAGGGAAGGAAAGGCAGCACCCCGCCCTCTCCTCCTCTTCGGCTGCGACCTCTTCACGCGCGTGTGCGGGCGGGCGCGCAGCATGTCTCCGTACCTTAGGCTTTTTTTTTCAGCTCCTCTGATTTTCCTTCTGGTTTTCTCTTTCCTTCTTGTTGTAGAATTTTCAGTCAGTCGGCTACTTGTAGCTCTGGGCAATGTCCACTCTACATCTTAGTTGTATTCCATTGAAATTGTTGTGTGCTGCCGCGGCTAGATGTCTACCCGAGCAGCCATCTTGGATTCTCCCCAGAGTTTTCCTTTTTCTCCCTGTTCTCCTTGGAACACAATTTTCTCTGCAGTTCCATAAGTGGGGAATGAGGTACATTTAGTTCTATCATCTTTATTCTGAGAATGTAGCCCTTTGAAGTTCCGATTTAATTTGGTGAGTACCTCTTATTAGAATTTCAATTCTGAGCCAGCCATTCCCCATACTTTCTACCCTCCTTGCCCCATAAAACCACCAAAACCAAAGCTGTTGGCCAAATAGGAAAATATCCTCAAGGCAAAAAGCATCTCCCATTTTCCCTTAGAGTTAGCCTCACTATCCTGTCAGACCTTCAAGGCTTTAAGAAGATTGAAAAGCAGGCCTAGCTGCCATGGCTTAGTGATTTGAGTGTCAACCTATGAACCAGGAGGCCACAGTTTGATTCCTACCCAGGGCACTGGGGTTGAGGGCTCGATCCCCAATGAGGGGGCAGGTAGGAGATAGCCAATCAATAGTCTTCTCCCATCTTGATGTTTCTATCTCCCATCCTCTCTGAAATCAATTTTTTTTTAAATTTTTTTAGAAGAGAACATTAAAAAGTATATTTATCCATTATTTTGGGGAATTAGTTTCAGCATGATGGATATTACAAATATCTTAACCTATCACTACTGGGGGTAGAACTATTTTACTTATCTATTTTATTATTTATGTATATATTTATTGTCTATAAAGTCCTTGAGGAAGGAATTATTTTGTTTTATTTTCTGCTCTACCCCCACTGCCTAAGAATAGTGTCAAGCACATAGTTGGCACCCATTAAGTATTTCTTGAATGAATGAATAATCTCTGACAACAAGATGCATATTGTGGGAGGCTTTGAAGTGCTAAATTAAACTTTTCTATCATTCCAGCTTAACACATTGCAATTCACCACATGTTGTTGAATAAATTCTACATGCCTTGCTCTTGTTAAACAATGGGAAGATAACAAATGTAGACTTCTAAGTTCTGGCAAGACACACATCACCTTTGTAGTTCATCTGTGAAACAAGTTGTTGAATTAGATCCTTCCTTCACTTTTTAAATTTCTGACACTAGGACATTGTTCTTGTCCTCAATGGTCAGGATGCAATAATAATGACAATAATAACCTTGGGCCAGGATCAGTTACCTATGGTCAATAGGTCTAGCAAATCATTATAGTCCTATTTTTTTTAAAAAAAAATAAGCAATCTCTCAAGCCCCCTTCCCATCCCCCTGCACCCCTTTCCCCAGAACTAATGTATAATCCTGCTTAGAAATGCTATCAGGATACACCTCTCCTCTGTAAAATGAAAGCTCCAGTCTTGAATATTATTATAGAAGGATTCTACCTATAAAGAAGTGGCTCATGCTTAGTCCTCTGAGTTTCACACTTTGTTATTTTCAGCAAGATGGGATGTTACAAATCTCCTAAGATCTTCTTGCTTCAGTTACTGTTGGCTCACTCATCCTGGCTCCCAAGACCAACCTGCTACCACTTTATTGATATGACTCAAATGTGAATCATAGACCCCTTCCTTACCTACCCTGACATAGCTGAGACCATCTGGGTCTCTCAAAAAGACCCTTTCAAACTCTCAGGGAGAACACAGAGAAATAAACAGAGCAACTGCAGGGAAATGAAAAACTCAGCTTAGAAAGTCCAGGCTGGCTGTCTCCTGTGGCTTCCAGACTCTGTTCTATTCCACAAACCATCAGAGACAGCTAGCCCACAGCTCAAACAGGCTGCCACAATTCTGCAGCTATCTTACTTTGATTACTTATTTTGAGGTCTTGGTCTATCCCAATGTGAAGGTACCATCTGATGACCTACTCCCTGGAAGTTCCAACTTCAAACATTTGTGGTCAAAGCTGAGAAGGTAGAACCCCTTTCTACCCTCCTCTTTCTCAGAAGATTAAAACTCTTTCCATAGACACAGAAGGTCACTGACCCTTTCCAGGTCTGGTTTTCTGTGTGAGAAAATCACCTTCTCTTTTTTAGGTAACTGATACCAGCAATGGCCTCACTGTCAGAGAAGATCCTGTCTTTCTATACAGGGACTGTGGCTTCATCTTTATTAGCTCCTTGTGATTCCCAAAGCATTACAGAACAACACACCCACAACATTCACTTAACAGGATCTAACAAGCATAAGTCATAGGCAGATGTTTCCTCAAGGAAATTACCATGAACAAGATGGAGACGACGTTTATCAGGTAACCTGGGAAGCGATCTTTCCAGGTAAGCTTATCTTCATCATCATCCTGGGGAGAAACAGAAGAGGAGAGACAATCAGAAGGCACAAATAACAGGTAATAATTTTCCTTTAATTTTGCATACATTTGCACATCATTAATCATTCTATATAGATATTTTTCTAGTCTCTGATATCTTACCTCCCATATTAACAACAGCTCTTCTAATTTTGGGATAGCCTGGTGAAAAGAGGACATGATTTGGGTTCAGCCTAATTCTTGGCTGAAGTTTTAAAATGTCCAACCACTTATCAGCTGTGTGATCCTTAACTTTTTTTACCCTCTATTTCTTCATTGTAAAATGGGCACAGCCACAATACCAATCTTGCCTACCGCACAGGATGATTTTGTTTGTTTTGTTTTAATGAGAAACATGTGAACATGTTAAAGCAATGGACAAATACATATACAACCCAACCATGGAGCAACATCTTAAAATAGATCATTCTTTAAATAAAACATCAACTGTAGATCCTATTCAGTGTACAAATTACCCACAATTTTGCTCTTCAAAGAACCTGCATGTGTTATCATTTGTTTTCTCCAGAAATGACTGTGTTCTCTGCTGATCACAAATGCAGATATTTCTAGGTAAAGGCTAAGTGATCAGTCCAGCTGAGAACCTTATCTTTTCCCCTCAGACTGGGTCCAGTACACCCAGGGGCCGCTCTCTGGGACAAGTATACAGCTGACCAGAGTCTTTCGGCATACTCTGAAGACCCTCCTGTGGTCTGGTGAGGCCAAAAAGGTATGTATAAAAATCTGTCAAGTAAATTCCATCTAAATTTAGTCCAGGCACTTGCTTTCTCTGAGCTGCAGCTCTATAGAATTAAAACTGATACAGGGTTGTTGTGAAGTCTATTTGAAGACATGTTCATAAAGATGCCATGAAAATGGCAAAGCATGTTACTCTGGTAAGGTCATAGCCCTACATTTCTGCAATGCATCTGAATCAAGCTCAGCCAGCCCTCTTCTAGTCTCTCTTCCCTCCTCACCACTATTTCAGAATACACCTGATTTGGCTCTAGCAACAGTGCCATCTAGCCTTTGAAAGCTTGTACTGTAGGCGAAGAGCCTTTTTGGCCTAGGAGACATCTTTCTAAAAATCCTTATATGTCTACTATGTGCAGACTTTGGTGCCAGGAATGGTGGGAGACAGACAGAGTTATGACCACTGCCCTTGGGGGCTTGCAGTCAAAGAAGACAGAAGTAGCACACACATACCAAAAGCTTCAGGGAGCATCTGCCAGTGTGGGAGAGGGAATTATCTTGGGCATGAGCCTTTGGGGCATTCAAGGAAAGAAATTATGTGTCTTTCCTATTGCATGTCTGGAGCTGAGCACAGGGTTGAACTGGCTTAATAAATGGGGGTAGAAATGAGTGTTAAGGCTGAAGTCATCTAATAATTAGCACTTTCATTTACAGATGATGGAAACAAGGGATACTCAGTTTTTCTTAGACCTGGTGATAAAATAAGGTCTCTAGACTCCTAGCCCAGCAGACTTTTCATCACACAATTGAACAAGGGAACTACAGGTTGTGACCAATCTGAATGAATGAGAGCATATAAATCTCTTTCCATTCAGATCGGAACAATACTTATTCATATGCTTCCAAATTAGGCCAAACATCAAAAGGGAGTAGCACTTCTTTCTGTTTTCTTCAGTATAATAATTCATTTTAATCACACTTGTAATATTTTCCTTTAAGATTTTGACAAGGGGAACTGAAGATGGGTTAGTGTTAGGGTTAGGGTTAGGGATTCTGCAAAGAAAAAAGGGGGTGCATGGCAGGACTCTCCCTGGGGTCTCCCTTATTACAATGAAGGTTTTGGTGATTTTTTGACTCTTTTTCTGCTCTCTGGCCTAGAGATAAGACATTCTGCCTTAAAACCCAGCAAACCAGATGTGTTCTGAAATATCGGTAGTGAGTAGAAAAGAGAGAACTCCGGTTCATAGGTCCCATGTTATCAATTGCTCCATAAGGGGGCTTCGTGAGTGAGGAACAGAGAGGCAGAAAAACACGTTTGGTCCCTGAGATTAGAGGAAGGGGTGAGAAACATCAGGGTGAGACTGGGTCCAAAATGGCCCTCAGGGCAGAGTTGGACAGTCCTAGAAGAAATGGGGGAAAGGGAAATATGAGCAGAGGATCGGGAAATATGACCCATGATGAAATGGGTTCAAATAAATAAGTACAACTGTAGAGGATGACTAATAAACCCATGGAGGAGTCAGGCCTCTGAGATGGCTTTGGTTAAGGTTTCATGCCAAATAGTTGTCCACCTTCTTCAGGCCAGGGACCAAGGGGGTGTAATGTCTTTGGAGCAGCCCCTACCCTGCAGTGAAAACTCTATCCTGGAGAATGAATTTTGGACAGCATGGTCTTAGCACCTTGGAGGGCAGGCTCTGTGCTGGATACTGAGGACACAGTAAGGAGAAGGCTCAGCCCTGCCCAGAAGGAGCTCAAAGACCACAGCAGAAACAAAAAATCACCAAAACCTTCACTGTAATGAGGGAGACCCCAGGGAGAGTCCTTGCCATGCACCTTCTTATTTTCTTTGCAAAATCCCTAACCCTAACACTAACACTAACCCATCTCCTTGCCACTGGCAAGAAAGGTGGCATTGCTATTTTGCATAAGAAAGAGATGTATCTAAAAAACAATTGACTTGGTTGACCTCTCAGAGCAACTATCTTAAAGAAAAATATTCATTTTGACACAGATGTTCTGATGTTTATTGAGAAATCACCTCTTCTCATGATTATATTTGTGAGCCCTTTTTTGCCTGGAAGTTATAGCTTCTATCTCACACATTGAGACACTATCCAAACACAAGAGGCTGAGAGAAACACAAACATTGCCGATTGTCCTCAAGCTCTTTACTGGTAAAGAGGACATTGAGTAAAGCGGACTTTGTGTATAAAAACTGGTTCTGATAATAGAAGCTAACTAAAACTCTCCATTCACTGGCACATTAAAGATGTGCAGATTCATGGCAGAATTTGATTACACTCTGCATAAGTATCACATAACCAGCCTACAAGGTAATAAAATGAGAAGTAGCCTTGAGACCAGAACATCGGAGTTTAACTCTTGGCTCTATTCTCAGAATCTCAGTTTCCTCATTTGTAATTATATTTGTTATCTATAAATGTGTAAAATGGTAGTATCTGTAACACCAAGTTACCATGCTTTTTATATGAATTAGCTTCCCCATGGAGAGGGCCACGCCAGTGCACCTGCACACAAAGGTTGGTGAGAACTCTTAGCGCCTCCCTCTCCTTTTAAAACAGAGATGATAATCCTTATTCCACCTAAGTGGCAGAAGCATTGTGCAGATCACATGAGTGAATGCCCGTGAGAGAGCTTTGTAAACTATAAGGCGTCAGACAAAAGTAAGGTCTAATCAGCTTGATGATTACAGCAAAAGCAGGTGATTAGAAAGCACTTAGCTAATGTCACCATTGTTAAGACATCAGCCTAGCTGTCACCTGTGTTTGTTTCTTTGTCTTTGCTGTCTTGTTTCTTTCCCTGGACTATGGCTCCTACTTCCAGGTCTCCAATAGCAAGTAGCACAGTGATAGTCACATATCTATGGAATTGTTATTTTGAAAATATTTATATTCAGAATATGTATTCTCTGTACTATCTTAGAAGTTTTTCTATATGCATGCATACACACACGTGCACAAGCATATGCACGTTTGCAAACAGGCGCGCGCGCGCATGTTCACTGAGCTTAATACACACACACACACACACACACACACACACACACACACACACACATTCCACACCCAGATTTCCCTATTACATTGTATGGATACATCTTTTCACAATCAATAAACCAATAAACCAATAATATAATTATTAATTTAAGTTCACACTTTAATTGTATTTTATTAGTTTTTACCTGTTGGCCCTTTTCTGTTCCAGGATCCTGCCCAAAACATTATATTTAGTCACCTTGTCTCCTCTAGATTGTGATAGTTTCTCAGACTTGCCTTGTTTTTAATGACCTTGACAGTTTTGAGGATTACTGGTCAAGTATATTGTGGAATGTTCCTCAATGTGGGTTTGTCTTAAGTTTTTCCCATAATTAAGCTAAGGTTGTAGGTTTGGGAGAAAGACCACAGAGATAAAAATGCATGTTATCCCTTTATATCAAGGATGCAGGCTATAATATGACCTAACACTGAACATGTTAACCTTGATTGCTTGGTGGAGGTGGTGTGTTTAATAGGTTTCACTACTGCAAAGTTACTCTTTTTTCCTGTACCTTACTTTTTCTTTATAAGGAAGTCACTATACGCAGTCCACATTTAAAAAGTGAGAGTTGCTGGAGCCAGTTTGGCTCAGTGGTAGAGCGTTGGTCTGTGGACTGAAAGGTCCCAGGATCAATTCCAGGCAAGGGCATGCACATTGGTTGTGGGCACATCCCCGGTAGGGGCTGTGCAAGAGGTATCTGGTCGATGTTTCTCTCTCATTGACGTTTCTAGCTCTCTATCTCTCTCCCTTCCTCTCTGTAAAAAATCAATAAAATATATTTTTTTTTTTTAAAAAGTGAGAGTTAGGCACCACTTCCTTGAGAGAATAATGTCTACAAACTCCCCTAGGTTTTAACCCCAAGTTTTATATTTTGGATTTTCTTAAGGTGGGCCTATAGAGAAGAGGGTCAAAAATGACAAGGAAATCCCAAGTTCAATTTGGGCAATGCTTCCTATAGCACAGGCCCAGTGGCCATTCGTTCTGTTCCAAAGCCACCCAATCATCCAGTGTGATCCTGTTCTGTCATTCCGATCCCATTCTCCTCTCAGACACAGCTACTTAATGCTCTCTCTGCTGGGTGAGCCTTCAAGACCTCTCACAAACAACTCTTACTCTAGAAACACAGATCCTACCAACTCACTATCTTCTTTCTCTTGGTTCTCTCTCCTAAAACAGCTCCTCCTCCAGGCAGCCTTCCTGGCCTGACCTTGAGGCCACTATTCGACTGTATATCCCTCCCT